CACTTACGCCATGGGTAGCGGCTATTTGACAAGCAAAAGTTAAATTTTAAGAGGAAGTTAGTTGATTGAAATTAGACTTTCGGCATCATTTATACTAGAAATAATGAGAAATTTAAACACCCAAGTTCTCTGCAATTTTAGCTGGAGTTTTGACAGCAGGTGGTGAAAAATCAGGACAGCCCAAGCTAGTAGCCAAGTACGCGGAACGCAGTTTCGATGTGTGAGGTGTCTCTGGCTACCCACCGTGCTGGCTCCGAGGAGGGAACAAGGAAATTCAAGCACGAGAAAGGGAAGGAAGGGGCAGCGAGCAGGCAGCGCCGTCAGGCTCCCGGCCCAGCCTTTCTCTGCCAGCCCTGGGAGTCTGCGAGGCCGCAGGCGCTGCCCTGCGGCAGACAGCAAGGGGAACAGCCAGGAGATGCGAGGCTGGCTTTGAGAAGAAAAGCCATTCGTTCAGGAGACGAGGATGACTTCTGTGGTGGGGAAGGCGGGCCTCGGGCTGGGTAGCAGCAGGCAGCAGCAGCTGTGGCAGCTCCACCAAAAACGCTGTAAAAATTCCAGGTACCCCCATCACTCATACAGCATCTGTAGCTGACAAAACCCACACATTTAGAAGATACCAAAGCCCAACTGACTTTGCTCCTTTGGTTTTTGTTACACACTGTAACATCTACTGGAGTTTCCTATGCAAGCTTACAGGCAGTAAATTAGGACTTTCAGGCAGCCTGGCTTTTTAACATTTCTGAACGATGACATATTTGAGGAACACTGTTTGGGTCACAGGATCAGACTCACCCTTTTGTTGTCATAGAGAAGCACTGATTAAGCCTCCTCGGAGTAATAAAAACTGCTCTGTCTTGACAAAACAGGGGTTTATCCTTTGTAGGGCTGCTCAGGGCTTCCTGCGGGTTTGACTGGCTGAAAGCAGCTGTAAAATCCCCTCTGCCAAAGCTGCAGCGAAGCTTTCTGTGTGCTCCGTGCAGGCCGGCCCACGTGCTTGGGATGCCCTTTCCTGGCAGAGGGGAGGCAGCAGTAACTTCTCTCCAGTTGCCTCAGCTTTACAAGAAGAAATCTTTGAAGGCAACACAGGCCCCAGAATAAATCCAGTCTGTATGCAATTAGAGAAATGCAGTGCCAAATAATTGAGGATGAGTCCAAGTTAAATCTATCATAGTTTAAATCTGTGTTTCATCTTTAGCTTTGTATTTCTTGTCTTGAATCTTTGATTTTTCCTCTTTGACACAATACTAACATGGGGTGGGGTTGGGTTCTGCATAAATGTATGTAAATAATATTCATGGGATACAGGTTTTGAATAGTGTCTTTTGTTCAGAAACAAAATGGGGTTCTCATTATTGTTGCCAAACATCTCCATCGCGTTATTATTCAGCAGCTTGGCAAGTCGCGAGAAATGCACTTTATTTCTCCGTCTTTAAAGTGATGCAAATGCTGGCATCTCTGCAGGTGGGTCAGAGGCTCTCTGCTCAGCTATAGGAAATGCCAAGTCAGTTTTTTCAACATTGAAAAAGCAAACCACCAAATACTGAAAAATGTATTACCAGCAAAGCACAGAAGCAGCTTGCAAACATATCTGGACTGGGGCAGATGATTATACTTCTCCTTTTCTGTCTATGGCAGGAAGGGAACAGGAGTTCGCTTCAGCAAATTCCCTCAGCCCAGTGACCGTGCTGGTTGTGTACTTGGTGGAAGTAACCTCATTAAAAAGTCATGTTTTGCCCAGCAGAAGTGGCTGGCAAACGATCGGTTCAGCTGTCATAAATTATAGCGGACTGACTCCGACTTTGTAAATTAAGACAACTGCCACATTCACCCCAGCCCCTTCCCTTCACTGGCACTGCTGGAGGTGGCGGGGAGCGCTGGTGCCGGCAGCACGGGGCGTCCCAGGGAGGGTCGCGCAGGCAGCCGCACCGGGAGCGTGGGAGCTCAGCGCTGCTGGCGAGGATTCCTTTGTTCGGATTGACGGAAACTGCTGTAGCCGCTTTTTAAAAATAACATTTACACAGGTTTTCACGTGAAGTGAGTATGGATCTTTGCAGTGTTGGGGTGTAATTTTCATGTCGGCATGTAAACTGCTCTGTGGGCTATCAGGTCTGGGCATTCTGGTGCATCCTCTAGAACAAGTCAGGCTGGTGATGAAGCTGATTACTGCTAGAAGCTTAATTATAATCTGAAATTTCATTCAGAGACAGAAGTTCCGCCCCCCCCCACTGCGCTCCTCTTCCTTTTGATCTTCCTGCCTTAGGCCTTAATTTTTTATTCCACCCGGGATAGCTACACAGCCGCAAAGCAGCAGTAACATCAAGTACCTGTGCAAGCTTTGCTGTCTCTCCTGATCCTATTTATTCTCACTGTCTTGCTCCTCCACTTTCTAATCACCATTCTTTATCTGCCAGGTCAATTTTTTCTGTTTCTTTTTTCCTTTCTGTTTTCTCCTCATACCATTATTTCTTCTATATATTTTAACACTCTTAAGCCACTCATTTTTCCTAAATACTCAAGTTGCTATCTTGAAGGTCAACATCTCATCCATGCTCTTTTCCCCCCTTAAGAGATGCATTTTTCAGTTCCCTCTGTCCTATGTCGGAACCATTTACCAGCCACTCTCATCCCTGCCACCAGAGCTTGTCCAGGCAAGATCCACATGTGCACATCCTGCTACTCACCCCGGCTATTTCAAGTTTTTGTGTTTGTCCTGGTGACTACTTTAATTGGCTTCTCCGTAGCCCCCTGAAGCCAGCATGCAGTGGCACTACGTATTTTTTTAATAAAAATATAGTATGAATATGTAAGGTTGTCCAGTATACGGTTGTGTCACCTTTGTGGTGACACAAAGGATGTAGAAATCGTTGTGCC